CCAGAAGCCATTCAAAGTATTAACAGTTTGTTATTTTCACTTAATCTTCACATTCTCAGTTACTTAATTTATCTCGAATACATCTCTAAAGAAAAAGTAAAATTTCTTCAACAACAGTGACACAAATTCAATTAATGAGAAGAAAATTCTGACGGTTTGACACTTTATGAGTTTAGGTGTATACATTTGTAAAGAGAGGCTTGTGTTGCTAATTTAAAACATGTACAAACAACCACAGTTACTAGTTTAACATATCAGACTACAGGAAAATGAAGGAAAGTACGAAAAGTACATTGCTACACAGTCCAGCAAGTTTTAAAAGAAATACCTTGCATTTACTCCAACATCATGAATGTATCCAAACTAAAGTATCTGTGCGACTCTAATTGCCCGGCCCATGAGTCTGTTACATAGCAGTCTACAGACATGTCACTGGGTGGATGTAGCCACTTGCCATTCAGTTTGATCACTTTCAATCATTCAAAATTTTTTTTTCACAAAAGAAAGAGAAAGCAAAATAGAAATCTAACAAACACTAGGTTTCTTAAGATTAGGAAGGCCATATGAACCACCACCACAAGCTCAGCCTGTTAAAAGAAATACATCATTCATGACCTGTGCTTGACTTTTTTCAGAGAAAGTTGTCAGTATGGCAAACTGCCTCACTTTGGGAAAAAAAACTTGGAAAGGATTAGATGCATCACAGAACTACCTGCAATCATCAATTCCAACCTCACCCTAAATACTATACGAACAACCTATTACACTATAATGGTTTAATTAGTTTTGCCATCATTGAAAAATCTCTACAAGCACTATTTCCCAGAGAGCTACCCTATTTTTGTTGCCAAGCCTTGACATCCTCTGAGCAATATAACTTTTAAGCCACAAGGTTTAGCCAACTTTTTGGCAAATTATAGCCGTTAAACATAACTCTTATATTGCCAGACAAAATATACAATAGTTATAATAGAATAAGTAAAGGCTACTGTTTAGTTAAGATATCAATGTAACTAGATTTTAAATATTCTTGGGACAATTCCCTGTAACCTTACCAGAAGTGACTAACCATTGTCCTGATGTTGCTGTTACGGGTTTTAAATAAGTTCTAATGATTTAATTGCTCATTCATCCGTCAGATTTCTGAAGATGTCACCAGTTTTGATAAGAACTTCTATAATGGAGCAGCAAGTGTCCTTGCACATCATGGGCTTCCCATGAAATTGCCAGCAAAGATTGTGATTATTGTCGGAGGCCAAATCCTTAAGATCAACTCATTAGAAAGAATACAGATATAAACTCAATTGTTTCTTTATTTATGATCAGCACTTTGTTTTTTTTTTTTTTGCAGAACGATAACAAAATGAGAGTGATGGGGAACCCTACCCTCACATTAAAGAAATATTCATTGCAGGAGGCTGTGAAGTGACTATAGATGACATTAAGGGTTTTCTACAGTTCCCAACAATTTTGGGACCATCGTTGTCAAAGAGTATTTGCTCAAGTTCTCTCAGAGACTCACCCCTCATCAAGGTGAAGTCCTTCCTTGTCTTTGCCACAAGTTCGCCATAACCACCTAGGTGTCAGCAAAATAGAGTTCAACAATATCAAATTCAACTTCTCATCCACATGTTCATTTCACGTAACATTGCATAGGTCCTTCCAGACCAAGGTAGATTTTCTACTTCACTTAAGGCTATCTGCAAATCAAAGGAAAAACCTTTTCTAGCCTTGTTTAATTTCCATAAGTATTGCTGTAAGATGGATTTAAGCTTTTTCAGGTTTAACAGAGTTTGTCTTAATGCACTGTGTATTTTACTGTAAATCTGTAACCACCACTAGTCATTCTCCTGACATTGCTGTTTGAGATTTCAAACGAGTCCTTATGATTTCATTGCTTGTTCACTTGCTAGGTTTCTAAGGACGTCACCAATCTTGATTACGACTTCAGTTTAGAAGTAGTTAGTGTCCTTCTAAACTGTTGGCTGCCCATTAAATTGACAGTGAGCATTGTAAGGATTGTTTCCATGAGTTTTCTTTTCTTTTTAGAAGAGATTAATGAACAAATCAAGAAACCACAAACTAATTAACAATGAATTAGAGTCCTTCCTTCTCTTTGCCACTAATTCAAAATGTGTACCCCGGTTTTGGCTCAGTGTCACCAAGATAAAGTCCAACAATACAGAACCTATCGTTCTCATCCAAAAGTTCGTTTTGTATAACATTACAAAGGTCCATCCCAGACCAAGATAAATGGTTTGTAGTGAACCGTGCTTAGCTGCACTTTTTTGCCCCGTATATTTTATCGAAAATTTGTATCTATTTTTAAGTCTTATGGTGATTTACCAGCTTCGAAGTCATTCTAAGGATGTTAGGCATGTGTGGCCCTGTTTTAAAGGGAAAAGAGCCAGCCGCCGCCGCCGAATAAAGTGAACAGAGATCAGAAAGTGTGTCGAGCAAAGTCCTATGATGCCAAAGTCAAAGATCTCAAGGCTTGCAAGCCTGCCCAGTGATGGTGGAAGGAAATCAAACAGCTAAGTGGCTTTTCTAAAGTCAAGTGTGCAAGTCCCATCACAGACTTCTAACACTTTGCCAATGAGGGGGAAGATCCTAAACACTTGGCCAATGTTATTAATGATGCCTTTTTGGCACCAATGAGGGTATTAACCCCCCTAGCCTTGCCGGATGTACACACTCATGCGTACGTACACCAACAAGAACCTTCCCAACCTATATCTGAGCTTTCAGTCCCCAAGAAATTATGAACACTTAACACAAACAAAGCATCTGGACCTGATGGAATCCCCTCTTGGGTACTAAAAGGAAACCTGGACTTATTGGCTGCACCAGTGGCAGACATCTTGAATTCTTTTTTTTTGGAGCATCGCCTCCCAACTTCGTGGAAGAAAGCAGACATCACACCCCTCCCAAAGACCTCACCTGTTAGTGATGCTAACAAACACCTGAGGCCCATTTCTCTGACCTCAATTCTTTCAAAGTTGGGGAAGAGTTTGTCGTTGACAGCTACATCAAGCCTGCCGTCCTTGCAAAAACTGACCAGAACCAATATGGGTCTCTCCCAAAATACCGCACTGTGCATGCCCTAATCAGCATGCTTCACAACTGGTATAAGGATACTGACAGTAACAGTTCTACGGTGCACATGATGCTTTTCAACTTTAAGAAAACGTTTGTTCTTATCAACCATGCCATTCTTATGGCCAAGCTTGGGGATTATGAGCTCCCACCTTACGTGTTGGACTGGATTGCGGACTTTCTCACTAACAGGAAGCAATGAGTGAAGCTCACCCATGATTGCTACTTGAATTGGGGATCAGTCAGGGCAAATGTACCATAAGGGACCAAATTGGGGCCCTGACTCTTCCTGGTCATGATAAATGATATCAATGTCAATGGCATCAACCTCTGGAAGTACATCAATGACACATCGATGGCTGAGACAGTCCACACGGGCCAACCAAGTGGAATCCAAGTTGCCATAGCCGAACTAGTTAGGCAAGCCAAGACAGATAAGTTCCAGTTGAATGAGACCATGTGTGAAGAGTTGCAGATAAGTTTTTCAAGATCTGCAGATTCTTTCGAAGCAGTTACTATCAACAACAAACCTATGCAGGTTGTAACTAGCGTAAAACTTCTTGGTCTCGCAATTTCAAACAATCATAAGTGGAACACTCACATAGAGAATGTTAACAAAAAAAGATCCACCAGGCTTTATCAGTTAAGGCAGCTTAAGCATGCAAAAGGAGATCCTGCACAGCTAGTTTGTTTCTATACAACGTGTATCCTGCTCGTGTCTGAATATGCTTGCCAAGTTTTCCACAATGTTCTACCTAAGTATCTCTCTGAAGAGCTAGAGAATATTCCGCACCATGCACTTAGAATAATTTTCTCAGTCTTAAGCTACCAAGAAGCTCTTAAAGAGTGCAATATTGCCACCCTCTACCAACGGTGCCAATTGCTGACGGAGCACCAATCCAGTGAGATCAAAGACAACACCTGCCACAAATTACATGGCCTTTTGCCATCAAGTAATCTTAGTACCATAGCCTAAGGAGAAAGCGCACTTTTAACGTACCTTTTTGCAGAACAAATAGACTAAAGAATAGTTTTATTGTGTACAACGTGGCTATTTCCTAATGGCTTTTAACATGTGTAATGCGAATTTTAATATACATATATAGTATTTTTTAGCCTTTTTTAATTTAGTTTTTTATTATTTTTGTATTGAGTATTAAGTAAACATTTGTATAGTCTGTAATCCAGCCTTTTGGCTGCAATGGATTTTAATAAAGCTATCTATCTATCTAATGTTTCTCTTCACTCAAGGCTGTCTGTGAGAACAATGGAATAGCCTTTTAGTTTCCAGAGGTATTGCCGTATGGTGGAGTCCAGCTTTTGAAGATAATAATGCAGTTTGTTTTGTTGTAATGTTTCTATTCTCTTTTTTATTTTAATATGCAATTAATGTAATATGCACTATAGTGTAAAATACAATGTATGTACATCTTGTAATTTTTTTGAGGGCTCATTTTGCATTTCAAATTTCTATATGTACTTTGTTATACCTATACCATTTTCAGATGGCTTATTCTAATTTAACTTGCTACACCTTTACTACACCTTTTTGCATGGCCAGACCAAGAACCTAAATGTTGACCTTGCAGAGAAGGAGGAATCTGGTAAAAAAAACTGGCTATTAGTATTGCCATAGAGACAAGTGTAAGCTGAGACTAAATACATCTTACCTACTGGGTTTAAGGCCATCTTAAGATTTTTTTTTTTTGAATCTACAAACTTAAAGTAGTTACTTATAACACCAAAATAATATAAACCAGAATAAGCCATCACCGAAAACATTATCGTGTCTCCTCGAGAAGGTTCTCAAACTCAACAATTTTACCTTTGGCAATGAACACTACATTCAAATCAAAGGAACAGCCATGGGAACCAGAGTCGCACCCAACTTTGCAAACGTATACATGGGAAGACTTGAAGAAAGATTAGTGTACCAAACAGAGTGGGTAGACCATATTATACTCTGGGTACACGTTATAGATGATATATTCCTTATCTGGAAAAGTGATCAAGGCTCTGATTAATTTCATAAATTACCTTAACAGTGTAGCATCCTCAATTAAGTTTACACATGAAATCTCTGCACATTCAGTGAATTTCCTTGATACGACAGGTCTAAAGGATAATCAAGGTAACATTATTACAGATGTTTATCAGAAACCAACTGCTACTCATCCATACCTCCATTGGACATCAGCACATCCACCTCATCTGAAACGGACCATCCTATACAGTCAAGCCTTGAGGTTGAGGCGAATATGCTCTTCAACAGACACATTGAAGAAACGAATCCTGGAATATTCGGACCAAAGATCGTGAACCAACAGACCAAATTCCTCTGGTTAATACATTCAACCCTTATACCACTTTTATTGCAGAAATTGCTAAACGAAATTGGAACTTTCTCCAATCAAAAGAAAGATTATCACTCATTTTCAACAAGCCACCTTTAGCTGAAGAAGACTGCTAGACATAACCATAATAATGTTCAAAGTGAAGTTTGACATTTCCCCAACGTATATTTCTGATCTATTTGTCAAAAATCAATCCAAATACAATCTTAGAATTAAATAATTGGAAATCCCATGCTTCAACACTGTTAATTATGCCAAAAACTCCTACAACTCATACTCATGTAACATACATTGGACCGGTGTTGTGGGTGAAGCTCCCTTAAGACATTAGGAATTTAGCATTATTGTCATCTTTTAAGAGATCTGTAAGAAAGCTAAACCTCGAAGATATAATTAGAAGTAATTGTTATCGTTCATTTTGTAAATAGGTATAGTAACACGAGTAGCTACATTTTAGATAAACCTTTTAGATTCATATTAAATTCTGGTTTTATATAATTAATACTAATTTTAGGTGTTTTTGTTTGTTTTTTTTAAGGACTGCTATTTTTTTCATCATTTGAATTTTCTTTATGTTTGAATTTTTTTTTCTTTGGGAAAATATCCAGTCATTTCTGGAACTTACAGGACAGGACAATAGAAACATTTAGAGATAACTGAGGAGGCCACTGAGAGGGCAAATGTATGCCTCGAAAACTCTGAAATATTGTTAAAAAAGAGCAAAGGAACTGTTTTAAGAGCTCTGTTGTGATTATGCACCATTGCTAGAATTGGAGTCAGCAGGCCATAACAGTTCATTCTTGACCACGAGTCAAAATGAGAAATGCCCTTCTATGATGGAGTTGAAGTCCGAAAAGGAAAGAGAGAAGTTCTAGGCAGCAAGGAGCCTATAAGCCCAAAAGAGAAGTCAAATATGAAGGTTAGAAATTACTGACCACCTGAGAACATCCCTTCTACCTTTGACTTACTCATGCCACAAGCTATAGGTGTAGCTGACGCCACACAAACTTGTTGTAATTTGGATTTCTTGTGTTTTATTGTATTTTAGCTACAGGGCGGCGCCTCACATGGGACACCAGTCCCCTTCACACCTGCCCTTTTCCGTTAGAACTACTTTTGTTACTATCTTCGTATATTTTTGTTGCTATGTAATATGTTTTTGTAGTTAGTACTATGTTATAAATCCAATAAAGGTATTAAAAAAACAAAACAAAACAAAACCAATCATGATCACCTCTAGAGGACAGCCTTAACAGAATGTGAACAATTCCGAAATAGAAACTGCGCTTGATCACATGATCATTGTTTCTACACAAGGCAATCATGACAATGAAGAGTTTGGGGTAGTCATATGAGTACGAGTCATATGGTGGTCTTTGAAAACCTTGGACCTCTATACAACTAGGTATGGAGACTCTCGTGTTTGTATTCTACATGAAAAGCTGCCAGAGAAGCTGTTGAAGGAGTATCCTTCTGCCAATCCTGCTCTTGAGCAACTGATTGACATGGTTCATGGGTTGACATGATTTGAAGTTAGAATGCTCAAGCAAGTAGCTACATCAATATTAATAACCAACCAAGCAAAGGTAAATCTCTATCTTCCCATCCCAAGATTAAGACAAGCCTTACCCTACAGACATTTTTATGCCCTATGAGTAACCAACTTTAAAGTGTTGCCTTTCAATTCCCATTTCAAATGCATGGCCAGAATGTGGTGCAAGCGCTCTTAAGCACAGCAAAACCAGGCTGCAGGTACTTATGCAGGTTTCAATCAATGGGCCACCACTTCACTTGGACCAGTGCGAGGAACTTCTGCATGACTCTGTACAGTTTTAGTTGGAGCAGAAAAAGAGGTGAGCTTGCCTAAGAAAGGAGTATTATTAACAGATCACCATGGTTCTGTGTCAGAGCATGCAGAGATGACAGATGTGGGAGTACAAGTTAAAACTGTTGAAGCTGATCAAGATGAAGCTAACCCAAATGAGATGGGACTTGTACACGAAGTTGAAGTTGCAGCAGCTGCTTTGAAGCTAACAGACCAGCCTGATGACTCAACTATGATTCAGAAAACTTTGACAGTGATACTGACTAGCTTCTGATTAAAATGAGATCTTTCCTATGAGAAAAAGATCTTTACACTGGAATGCAGCACCAAAGGAACAAGCAGATATCATGAATCAAACCTTTAAGTTAAAATGTGCTTTAAGTGGAACTTGTACCTTTACAAAGGTAACATGATTATGTAAGATCCAACCAACCTGATTTATACAAGTTAATAGGTTATCAGACAGTATGTGGCCAAATGTTTCCTTTTTATTAACTTAGGGTTGCAGCTAAATACACTAAAAAAGTTTTTTCAAACAATGTAGGGGTTTTTGCATTAAGAACCTAGCCTCTGATCACCTCAAAGATTACCAGAGGGATAGAAACAGCTGTGTTCAAAGTGCCTATGACGTTTAATTTTAAAGTAAAGAAAGTTGCTGTGTCCCAGAAAGAATTAAACTTTTTCCTGTTGTCTTGTTCTGGAACAATGAAACCGAAGAAACTAGACCTTTAGACCAAGTGCTAATTCCCATTACTGAGTGGAGTTAATCCTTGTTTGGTGGTCTAGTCCTTTAAGCATGTGCCTACCCAAGTTTACAAGTTGTCAAGTGGCAATATTAATTTTACCATAGTCGTAAACACTAGCAAAACCACCAAAAAGATGTTAAAAAAATATTATTCCACTTTTTGTTTACACAGTTGCATTATTGAAATATCGCTTTGTCTTTCTTTTAGTAACATGATTTTCACAATATAATTGTAGCATAATTCCTCCCTTTAATGTCAGAGTTTCATGGCCCAAAATACCAGGAAATGCGTTTTCCAGCATTCAATTTTCAAAACTTCTCCAAGGGAGCATGTCCCCTGAAACAATGGGCTAAACACTATCATATGGGTCCTCTGGACCCACAACCAGTTACCTTTAAAAAAGCTCAGGCTACTTAAAACCTTAAAGAAAACCCTGAAGTTATAGAAGGCTTAGTATTGCATGGTAGTAAATTTTCTAGACCAATGTGCAAAATTCAGGACTGCACGATTTGCAAAATGCACAAGCAACTAGCATTTACAGCATTATCTTATACTTGCAAGAACAACCTCTACTGCAAATCATGTATCTGCATCTTCATAATTATTTCTTCTATTTTGTCTTGTAGTGAGGGCAAAGACAGTCAAGGAGGTCATCAAAAACATACCAGCAGTTGGAATTCTAGACAAAGAAGTAGCTAGAGAGTATAAAGTAAATTTTAATGCTTTTCTGATCTGCACATAGTCTAGATGCAACATTTCTACATATAAGAAGCAAAGATTCTTTGTTACATGTATAGCAACATTTATTAAGATTAGGTCAATTATTGACTGAAAGGAGTAGTAAAATATCATTTTTCTTAAGATCGCCTTATTACACACCCATAAAATTACATTGAATCATTTTATTTTACAGGTGATAAAGTAATGGAGAGGGCAGAGATATACTGGTACTCTCACCAATGAGCTTATTTCTCCGCATTTAAGAGTTGGTAAAGCTATATCAATGCCACAATTGATGTTTTTTTTTTTTTTTAACAAAGGAGTACCTTGCTTCCTTTTGGTCTCATAATTACACAGTGAAGCCCTGAACATGACTGGCTTCAATATGTCCATTTTCTTTAGTCATTGTTTCTGATCATCTGATGGGGACTGTTGGCCAAAATGCATCAGGAATTAAGGGCTTTTAACTGATATAGAGGTCTGTCTACTTATTTTTCCACTTTATAGTGCTCCATACATAGGAGCAGAGCACGATATATGTTGCGATAGGGGGAAAAAAACAGAGACTACTTTCATCCCTACAAGCCTGTTTCGTGATTGCTTGCTCATTAGGGGATTTTATTGTTAAGAATATTTGTACCATAGTTTATATAATATATAAATTTGCATGATATGAATATTCTCAACAATAAAATCCCTTGATGAATGAGCAATCACAAAACAGGCTTGTAGGGATGAAAGTATAGTCTCCCTGGTTTTTTTTGGATGAGTGCGTAAGCATGAAACTCAGAGTAACAGAGAATCACATGTGTTTCATTTTAGTTATTTCGAACTATATAAATATATATGGTGAACAGTGAAATTATGTTGATTGCACTCTTTTTTCCAGTTTAAGTCTATTCAAAATTTGCACGAGATGGGCCAACACCCAGTCAAGTAGTACAAAAATAAATATGAAGCGTTTTGAGGCAAGACCACCAAGAAGAATCATGCAGCACCAGCCAACACTGAAAATACTCACAAATGAGGACAGTTCTAACAATATATTAATTGTAAAATTAAAGCTACAATATCTTCCACTATTTTATAACAACACCTATGTTTAGAGATAAGAACAGAGGTTTCTCAGATTTTATCTTGACCCTTTCTACATTGTACCATTTTGAAGTTTGTCAAAAGTTATTCATATTATTATCAGATTTTATCTTGAACTTGTCTACATTATGCCATTTTAGAAAGTTTTTAAATAGTTCTTCATGCTATTATTATAAAAGCAACTGCCAACAAAATTTTCTTCACAATTATTGAAATGTCCTGATTTGTTGCACTGACTTAGCTTGTTTATGAATTAATTATAATAAGGCTAGAACATGATATTTAGTTGAAGTGCACATAAAATGATTTGATCAGAGGAGGACTCAAGATATGCAAGGGACATGAAGCTTTGGTCGTAAGACATTAATTTTGCCTTATTCAAGATAGAGGAAGGATGTGCTGTAAAAAAAAAACACCAGAAACTTGAACTGCACTTTTCACCAGACAGAAACACAAATGTTTATCATATGGCATTAATATGGAACTGGAATTCTAAGTATCTACACCATTCCCATATCAGAAGTCAGCCTGCCTGGAAGGCGTGTGATCAAATCGTATGGGAGTTCAAAAGGTACACAG